GTTTTATTCCTTATGTATAGGAAACATACCATTAACTGATAATTTTATGACTTTTTGCTGAAATTTGAAGTTTATCTAGTAAATGGTAATTTTTCATTTTACATAACGAGTATACACGTGGAACGCAATTAACTGGTTAATTACCTTACCGAAGAACGTGTACATCGATATAAAGCGTTTAGCCACTCGACGAATATTTTTAATCTTTATCCCTACTTTTACTCCTACCCCTAACTCTTAATCTTCTCATCCTCATCCTCTTTTACAAACTCACCCCACCAAGTTTGCCATGGTTGTACGACATAATCTGCGTCTTGTCGGCCGCTTCTTTACGAGCTAACCGAAGTCGACGCGCGCGAGATCAACGCTTTATCAAGATTTATGGGCATTGCGAGCTTTTGCTTTGCATTCGCGCAAAGAGAACGACGAAAAGGGAATGTTCCTTCGTATAACTTCTTTCTCTTAATACTCTACTTAATTCTATATTTTAATGGGAAAGCTTGCTTTCGTATTCGAACAATTTCTTGTCGTTTTAAGTATCGCTTTTGGTAATTCGATTGTGACGGGATAAAAAATCATCACGTATTGTTTTTTCTACTTCGAGGTTATCGCAGTTCTCTCTTGTTAATGATAATGATAAAATTGTACTTTAAAATGTTGAATTCTGTCCTTGTGATAAAACTTTTGTGTCAATATTTATTTTTTACGATCCATAAGAAAATAAATATACACTTAAAATCATGTAAAAAGGAACAAGTAAAAAACTTATAGAATAAATACTTATTAAAAAGCGTACGTTCCGAAGCATTAAACTACATTACATGAGTAATGCTCGTTGAGATGCCGTCGGACCGTGGAACTCGACGCGATAACATCGTATACGTCTTGGTCGAAGCACGAAACGTGTTTAATATAAGTAAATGTTCGTGTAAGTTTTTCGGCCTTCGTGTCAACATTGAGAAAGGGTGGGGGAAATTAAAGGGAGAGGAAGGGAGAAAAAAAATGTAACAGAAATTTATCTTACGGAACGGAGTGTGTTTTTTTAAAAGAGACTAATTTATTATACGCTGTTGAAATCGTTGTGAAACCATCAGTTTCTAGAAATCGTTTAAACGAGGACGCATCCTCGCGACTTATTTTTTCTTTTCTTTAATACTTTTTTTTATTTTTATTATTATTATTATTATTATTATTATTTTCTTTTCTTTTCTTTTCTTTTCTTTTCATTTATTTTCTTTATTTCATTATGCAGTGATCTCTTTTCATTCGACGATAAAGTCCTTTTATATAACAGCAAAAGACGATATCGTTACGCCCACGAATCTAAGTCAGGCTAATATTTTAGAAGCGACCTACTTCGTCAAAGAATCAGAATGTTCGCGATCACGGAAGAGTAAGAAAGATTACGCGTAGTAAAGAGTGAGATACAGAAAAGGGAATAGCGTGTTCACCTATCAGCTTTGCCGATGTCGTTCGTACACGCTAACGTAAGGGATGTGAGTATAGTAACCAATTTTTAACGAATAACAAACTAACAAAAACTCTTGTTTGCATCGCTTACAACTAAACAAGATCGACGACGATAATAACACAATAATCGATTACTCTCAAACGTTCTATTACTGTTCTGAAGAAAATTAACTTCAATTACGTTTAAATTGATTCATCGTTGCATGAATGAATCTCATTGTCGGTATAATGAGAGAAAAAGACTATATCAAGATAAATTTTAAACGATGTGAATTATTTTCATTTAAAAATAACGTTTACCGTATAATATGACTATAATTAATTTTCAAAATGTCATAATAGACGTTCGATTAAAATGCAAAATAATTCCGATCATAAATAGCACGATGCATTAAATCATAAAAGAAATGATTCAAACTATAAGAGATGAAATAAATCAACCTAGGCGGACGCTTAAAAGAGAGAACTTTCGTATCAAAGAAACATAAAATGGCCACACAGTCGGCATTAAACTCCTACGACGAAAGCTGAGAAGTCAGTTAGTTTTTCGAGTTCCATCGATATTTACGTACTCGTAGTAAGTTTTGTTTCAAACGTGAATCACACAAGGACGAGATAGAAAGTCGCGAAAGGATGGGAGACGACGCATAGTGTGTATAGTAGAAAAGAATCACGTGAAAAACGGGGGTAAAAGTAACGGAAGAAGAAGAAGAAGGAGAAGAAGAAAAAAATAAGATGAAGATGAAGATGAAGAAGAAGGAGAAGAAGAAGAAGAAGAAGAAGAAGAAAGAAAGTAAGAGGTATAAGAAAAATAAGAAGGGATACGCGAAAGAAAGAAAGAAAGAAAGAAAGAAAGAAGGAACGAACGAACGAACGAACGATAGAAAGAAGCAGCGGCGAGGAGCGTACACGCGCTCGTGGATTAAAGAGTTATTTGAGTCTCAGAGGCGGCCATAACTCTCCCGGGCTATTCCCGTCCTGTGCTCGCTCGCCCACCAGAATATTTTAACATTGGGGGTGGGTGGCTGGCTGCCTGGCTGGCCTGACTCTCGAAATGGGTTTAGCTTGGGACATGGGGCAGACGCACGCGCATATACGCACACACATATGAATCTAAAGAGAGAAAGAGAGAGAGTAACGTTGCATACATGCAAAGTATAGTTATAGATGCATACACGTGGACGAGACGGTAGCGCGAAAGCTTGTTACGCACTCGCGTGTACACTGTGTATATGTATATATTTATATATATATATATATATATATACACATGCAGGACTCTAGTAGCATATATATGGATACTGAGAAAGAGTAAGAGAGAAACAAGGGAAGAGAAGGGAACGGGAAAGGCAGGGAGAGTCAGGGTGAGACAGGGTCCGCTCTCCACGCAGCTGACAGCTGTTCCGTCGGTGGGCCGGTCGGTGGGGAGGATTCAGCCTAGTCGCGCCCCTTCTATAATGGCTCCCTTTTCTTCCTTCCCCTACCCATGGCAGCATGGCTGGCACCGGTTTCTCTTTCTCTCTCGCACTTTACTACCTCTTTCTATCTCTACCTCTCTTCGTATATATATATATATATATATATATTTCCCTCATTCACTCATTCCTGCTCTTTTCTAGGCATCGTTGCGTCATCGTCGACCCGTCGTTCTCTCTCTCTCTCTCTCTCTCTCTCTGTCTCTTTCTCTTTCTCTCTCTTTCTCTCTCTCTCCCTATCGTTATATGTGCTGAGTGCGTGACGTCAGAAGAACCGACGACTCGTTACCTCGTGACGTAGCTGTAACGTCATAGTAGTCACGATAGAGAGCAGCAAATCGGAATGCCACCACGAGTGGCGCTTCGATCGACCTATCAACTTTTGCTCGCAAAGCGCGCGTTATTATGGTGAAACAATTGAATTCTATTCCGTGTCGGCATATCGTCATTTATTTGCATACATGCAAGAATATACAACCTGTATTATCCAGACGTTATTGTTTTAGTTTAGTTGGAATCGTTTACTATGGAAATTGAAACTAGGCAAGATAATTTCTAGCAACGTATTCGTTTTGATATCGTCGTTAACTTTTTGATTTAAAATGTTGTATTGAGATAATGTTGTACAACAAGTTTAGAAGTATATATACAAAAAGCCAAACAAATAAAACTAAGTTAACTTAACATAAAACGATAAGCAACAGTCCTTGAAGTGTTCCTAAGCGTCCATGCAGTACTTGGCATTTACGCTCAACAGGTGTTAAAAGTAATTATCTATTATCTCGAATAACGATCTTCTTGCTCTTCTTCTCTTATCCCTTTGAACAAAACTTAAAAGAAAAGAAAAGTAAAAGTTAACACATTAAATCGCCATTACTTCATTAACTTCGGAAAGGATTCGTTCGATCGGAAGCAACGATAAGCGCGACAGTAATTTCGTAGGCTAATCGGTCGAAGGTCGTTGAGTATAATCTTTGTGAAGAGAAAAAGGAAGGGTGGACGGAAGGAAAGAGTTAAGAAGGAATTTAAAGCATAAAATGAACGATGCGTACGGCATAGTAAGAGGTATTATGGTGATAAAGTATCGTCAGCAATAGACAGTGATCGTAAAACAAGAATTTTACGAGACTCCATTTGAAGATCTGGCGGTGATGGTGGTGGTGTTATTGGTGGTGTTGTTGGTGTTGGTGGATACTGGTGGAGAAAGAGGTAAAGGAAGTGGAAGAGGATGAGGTGGAAGAGGAAGAGGTGGAAGAGAAGAAGGAGGAGGAATTGGAGGAGGAGGAGGAGTACCAAAGCGAGTGCCGAAGCGACGGCCGTCGAGTGGGGCTCTCACGGTTTACGAGCGCATAACAGACGCGTTTATGGCCGTGATCACATGGCCCACTCACATACCTATAGCTATACAACCGGCTCCCATAGCCCACTGCGAAGTAAACAAATCGTAAAGCTCTGCTTCGGATTTACTGACCTGCCGCAATATACCGAAAGCAATACGGAAAGGCAGCCAACCAACCGGCTTTGATAACGTTCTGCTCGTTTCGTGCGCGTGCCGAGCGACGTTCCGCCTCGACGTTAATATACATAAGCTATATGTGATCGAACGATCTTTATACTAACCCCTAATACACTCTCTCTTTCATCCATTACTATTATGAGGCACAAAATCGATAATTACGTCACATTTGTCTTCTCTATCGAGTAGTTATCTTCGATTGCACGTCATCAAACCGTTTTCCTTCTTAATGAACAAATATCTATGGAAAACATCGTTACGACTGTTATATACATATTCCGTGTTACTTATCGCTACTATTTTACTCATTTTCCTATCGTACCTTGTATCGAGAGAAGATTTTGAAAAACCGAGTAACTAATCTTTTACAACGATTTCGTCTTACTTAATGTCTATTAATACATTCAAATTATAAATATCGTTGAGATTCGATCGGGCAGGTTAATATTACGAGTCAAGCTTAACGATTATTTAACTTGTAATTCACATCTAACCGGATATACGTATTTATGACACTCCAAGAATTCTCACGTTAAACAATGGACTTTGCGAGATCGGATAGGATAGATCTAAAAAGGATACATTAATGTTACGTATGGAATAATTAACATTTAATTATCGTATCGCGTTTATTATGCTCTTTACAAATTGACGCGCTAATAACGTCGCTATCTGATGCATCTATCTTTCCAATTAATTCGCACGCATTTCCTTGCTTTCCTCGATTATAGTATCGAGACTGTCGAAGCCGAACGAACAGGGCTCGTCGAACTCATTTTATTCTCGGACTATTTTGTACCGTCATAGCTAAATATTACCTATATCATTTTTCCTTCTTCCGATCAATGGTCCATGATGCGCGCGCGCACACACAGCACTTTGTCTTCTGCTTCTTGTTTCATTGTTCTCGTGGGTACCGCTAGATGCCGGCACTGCTTTATGACTTTCCAAGTGACCAGTAGTTGACGCTACGATCGGTTTATCGTCCATTTATTTGCTCAACGCCATTCATGTGTAAGGGGTTACTTTTAATATATTTATAACGATAAACTTGAGTCTCTTTTCAAAACTTTAAGAAAATTTAAGTTAATTATAAATATTATAATGCTCGCCAGTTTTCAAAACGACAATTTTGATAATCTAATAGTAAGTAAATACGTTTACGTTTGTGTTTCTGATTGATTATGCATCAAAATGCTTACCTTACGATCGATGCAACGGTACTCAGACAATTTTCGATTCGATTACGGAATCGAAGTCCTCCGCGTTCGCAAACGTTTAATCAAGAGATCCGGTGGTAGAAAGAAGCGTTCGATTCTATCTCAAGAAAAGAAATTTCTGGTCTTTGAAACGCGGAGGAGAGCGCGGAGGTTCCGCGTAGCGTGCAGAGTCACGAAGGTGATTTATTCGACTTAATTCCAATTCCATTGGAGCCATGGGGCCTGGGTTGGAGGAGAGAGGTGGAACGTAGGAAAGGTGGTTGTGAGAAAGTAGAGAAGGACGGAGAGGGTGGATATTCTTATGCAATTTGCCAGAAAGGTTCAAGAACCCGGGAGATCCCGCAATTTATCTTACCTTATGTTACGCCGAGCCAAGGCAACGCAAGATAGATGGCGTTAGTGCTTCCAACCCCTCTTTCTCTCTCTCTTGTACTGCTCTCTTTTCCCTCTCTTGCCATCTCTTTCTCTTTCTCTCTCTCTCTCGGGTCACCCAAACTCCGTACAGAGCTCTGCGACCACCCCTTCCCCCAGCCAATGAGGGACGACCGCGGTGGCCATCTTGGATGGAGAGTTATTGAACGAAAAAGATGAGTAAGAAACTTGTTATGGGGGTGCGTTCTCTCCGCGCTACTGGGACTTGCTCGAGAAACGGGCGTGTTGAGGAAGAAGGGTGAGGAAGGAAAAAGGGGAGGAAGACGAGAAAAAGAGAGCGAGAGAGGGCGAGAAGCTAGCTACAAGGGGTTGTTGGCGCTATATTGATCAATTGCTTTGTCGTGCTTTGCGCTACTTTCCACCTATAAAACATGATGCCTACGAAAGCGCGATACTTGCCGAGCGCTGGACTGAGACTAATTATATAACGGTTTTATTCGTCGAAATTTTAGATGAAGTATCCTTCTTCTTCATCCCTTTTTATTGCCATTTAATCATTAATAAATTATCTGTAAAAAAATATTAGTTATTGATATATAGTAAATGAAATTTATTTAATTACCCAATGAAGATCACGCACACACGCAAATGATCAGAACCGACGATAGTACCCTCAATTATCGACGATAATCGAAATAGAATACATCACATAAATGGAACTATTCTAAATCATTTTCTCGTTGACAGGTAATAAGCTTTCATTTACATATATCACGATTCTTCTTCGTTAATCGAGAAATCAAGGTTTGAGAGGTTGTCGAATTATAAAAATGTTTTCTTAGTAAATTATGACTGTGGAACGTTGTGCATTTTCTATGCGCTGATGCACGCGTTTTCCCTTCGCAGAGGAATTTTTATCGCGTCGCGTGATCGCGAAGTAAGACAACGTCAGCAGCAGTGAGCATGCGACGAAGTAGCAGAACATGGGTGGTCCGTCTACTTGCATTTCACGAATGCTTAACGCGTTTTCGCTTTATAGGCGCGTGCGCGAGCGAGGTGTCGCCTAACTAAATTTCGCCTTGAGGTTTTACAAAGTGTTTGAACTATCTACGAGACCGTACACGGGACAGAGACGCTGCGTACGTGGTTTCACGCTCGCAAATTCGTGATCGGCCTGACAATGCGACGATTAAGCTTGAACATTGGGATGCGTATTAGCGTGCGATAAACATACTGCGATAAAAACAATCTTATTGACGCATCAATATTAATAATGAATCGTCGTGGAAGGTGGGCCTCATCATAATTTCGTTGTTGTTCTGCGACAAATGCGCGCGTCCGATTTTATCTTATCGTCCGTTAAAATATTTAATTGTATTCCGAAATGCGATTATTTTGTATTATCTCAATGATACACTATATAATAAATATATTTTAAAAAATAGTTTTTAAAAAGTTATTGTTTTACATTTGATAAAAAAAACGACTGCATCTAATATTCAAAAAAATATTTTAAACAACGTTGCCGATGTATTGACCTGATAATACTATATAAACTGGTCAGTGACTAATTACGTGACTAAGCTTGTAAATAACATATTAATTAAGAGACATTACTTCGCAAATAACGGACGGCAGTTTATTTCTATTAAATTTGTTATTTATTATTATTCTTCAACTGCGTTATACATTATTTCACAGATAACCGATAACGATTTTTTTTTTAATGTAATATTTTCTTTCTTTGTAAAAATAAAAATAAAAGGTGGGCCCTAATCTCAATTAATAAATTTTTCTTTCTCACGAAAATCCGAAAAACTCAAATTTCCCGCTTAACTTGTAATCTTTTTTACCTACGAGATATTCTCGTTTCCCATTTTTATCGACAAGTTTCACAATGACTCCGTTCGATGGCGCTGCACAGAAAATAGCGTTCAACGCGCCATCTGTAAGACAACGAATGAAACGTCTCCTATTAGGCCACGTGCGTTCCCCCAATAGGAGGCGTGAGGTTCTCAGTCTTCCAGTCGCTTGGGGATTGAAGAGTGGGGTGATTATTGTCGTCGGCGGACGTGTGCGAATCGAGTAGCTCGCGCACTCTAGTCTCCGACTTGGTGGTGGTGGGTATGGAGGGAGGTGGCAGAGCTACGGTGTATCCGCAACGGCGCAGAATCTCATCGATCATTCGTATGCATTTCCCCGTGTTTCACGGCGCGCCCACTGTGCGTCGTCGTGGCGCACATAGTCAAAGGAAAGAGAAAGAAAGAGAGAGAGGGAAAGAGAAAGAGAGTGATAAGAATCTCCATCGTGCCCCTGACGCGTCCACCCATATCACCCCACCCCCACGATGTTTACCCCTTCCTTGGCAAAACGATGCGTTGAATCTGTGAAGGTTCGGCGGGCGATGCCTAGCGACCATCACCGAGCCTTATCTTACCTTCTCCATTATATTTATGCGCCGGCTCGCAGCAACGAAGGTTTATGTCGTCTTTTCATTTCATTCTATATACATACCTAATACACTTACTCAGTTGTCACGTTTTTTTGCAAGTCCATTCGTTCATCGTTTTGACGTACGACGAGAAAAAGGAAATTATTTATAATATTGATTATATATTCCTCTAATGTCAGTTGTTTTCTTTTTTTCTTCACACCCGACACCGATTTCTTTCATTCTCGTTTGATTTTCTTTTTTGTTTATTTATTTATGTAGTCGAAGAACGGGTCGAAGGAGGAAGTATTGCTATTTACTCGGAGTGATCAGTTATACTCGTTCGTATAAACGCGATTAGTCTCACGCTGCAAGCGCACCGAACGCGCGTGCGGATCGACACCACGTGTCGCGTGTGCCCAATAAGTGCGCGAGTGCCACCGCCTCGACCAATCGCAATGTGAAGATGCTGCTCTTTCGTGACGCGACTACCGGCCACGTTTGAACCAAATCTAAAACGTGACCTCGTTCTATCTATGTCAGTTTTATTCTGATGCGGCCACCGGTAATTCCATTTTACGATTCATCGATTTTCTTCTCTCTTTCTCTATATATATTTATATATATTTATTTTAGCCTAAAGATTGTCGTGATTTGTGTGAACAACATTTCAGCAACGTACTTTACATAAAATATAAATTTGCAGCTTTCTGTTAATTTCGAGTCAATCCTTTAACGAATTGTTATTTGTATTGTGTTTTTATTCGTCAACTTTATTTCTTTCATATGCAATGTATTTCAGACTAAACGGTGGCAATTAAAGTAGTTTAATTAAAAGGACAATAATCGATACATGAATTAATTAATAATTTCTACAATATTTATAAACCATCATATAACATACACTTTATTATTAAATACATTTTTATTTAATCGAAACAATAAATTTGAGAATTTGTAAATAATTAAGTAGAAACATGATTATAAATAAACATAACCGTCAACGGAAGTTTTTTCTCATTGTTATCGAACATCAAACAAATCGTATAACCTGTGTATAAATGCATATTTAAAAGAAAGAAGAAGGCTCATACATATTAGGAACAACAGTTTCGAGTAAACGTGTTTTCGGTAGTCAAAATGTACTTCCGTTAAAGTTTGGAAAAAGTCTAAAAGACAGAAAAAGAATAAGAGGAAAGAATTATTTGGAGACTTCTTTGACGTAGGTGGTTACGCGCGCGCGGACTACACATGTAAACGCGTGTACGCATACGCATATCCTGGAGGATCGTAAATCAGATGGATACCTATATATGTGGGTATAATACGTATGTGCTGTAACGGTATGTAATTTATTGTTTCAGGTAAGTGACGTCGTACCGCTTCAGGCCGATTCGAGCATACACGTTCCTTTCCCGGCATAATGTAAGCAACCCACTGTACGTATTACAACGATGTTAAACCGACGCTTCGTGCCTTGTTGAAAGAAACAATGAAGGCAGGACGGTAACCTTCCAAACGTGCGTGCGTATGACGTGCGTGCGTGCGTGCGTGTGCATATGCATGTGTATTGTGTCTGTTTAGTATATATTTACGTATATACCTGTACGCCAAATTTTGTTCGTCAAAATGTAAACGTAACAGGAAGTTTTTATCTCTCGGAGAAAAAAAGAAACATATTTTTATGCATCCTGTAGTAAACAAAAAAAGTAAAAGGAGGGAAAAAATGGAAATGTAAAACAAAACAATAATAACGACAATTGTATTCAACAGAGAATAATACATTTTTTTCGCTTAGGAATCATTGCTACCTTGTTGGTTGGTTGGTTGGTCGGACGTTGATAAATAGCCTCGTAAACGTGTGACGATAGTTAGAATATCGATTATTTTTTTTAGTACGAACATTCCTATGAAAATTTACTTGATTTTTATCGATCGCAATTAAATATGAAAGTCTAATTATCTACTGAATAATAACCTATCTACATATGCATATTTGCTATATAAATAAAATGTAGGTTGTTTGCTCATTAACATTACGCGACAAAGATGTTTACGATTAATATATGTAAATTCGATTAAAAAGTATATAAGCAATAAAAGGAAGATCGTCGAACGAGTCTTTTCTTCTTCTTCTTCTTCTTCTTATTCTTCTTCTTCATCTTCTTCATCTTTCGGCGGCATGATCAAAGGCTTACCCTTTTTCAGACAATTTCTCTTCTCTTTCGTTCGGTTTTATACACGTAACGAAGAGAACGAAGTTTGTGGCTAAAGGAGGAAAGAACGGAACGAGCAGCTGTCGATATAAAATCCGGTTTATGCCGAATTCGATTATCCCTACTCTTACTCACTGGCTCACTGATATTCTCAACGCGATAAGTGGATCTTAAATGCGGCCACCTGTAATACAACATATTACGGTAATGGCGCACGCCTTACGCGATAAAACACATAGGTACGTTCCTACAGGTGTAAATGGCCCTAAACGAGGCGCAGTTATTAGCGTAGCACTCCAGGAGGGTCTGCTGTGGAGAACGTAAAAGTATAATAAGTTGTGCTGCTTTCGCTAACGCGAAGGAATGAATGTGGGGGTGGGGTACGGTTGGGGGTAGGGGACTAGAAGAGTTGGGGCCAAGAAAGAACCGAGAAAGACAACGATGGGGTGGGAATGAAAAAGAATTCTCGTCGAGGATGGGACCAAGAAGGGGCCACACACCGTCGGCTTGTAAGACGCGCTGTGAGATTAAATGCTTCATTAATGTGATTAAAGTAAAAAGCTGTTTGAGTAATGAGTCACGCTGAATCATTCGTCGGACCGCTCTGCACGCCTTCCATGAGTTAGACGGAATTCTCTTTACTTTCTTTCCTTCTCTCTCTTTCTTATCATTTTTATTTGTGCAAATTTTCATTATTTCGTTTAACAGATTTTGTTACACGTGAAATAGGTGAAGAACGAAAATTTATTTTATTGTTTTTTTTTTCTCAGGTTGATATTTGATGCTATCGGTTGGACGTTTCCTGTTTTGGTATCGAAATTTTTCAAATGTAACATCTCCCACGAGGAACAACGAAGTAATGAAATTAAAATGAATTAACGAAAAAGAGGTTTTGTTGAGAAGGCAAATGTACGAATTACTTTTTATTGCAAGGTTAATGTAAATGGTAATAGTATCGCGGTAATCTTCAAAGCGATAGAAGCACAAAGTGGCATTCTATGGTCATTTCGTATACATTGTTCGCGAAACGTAGAGAATAGCAGAACGATCGCGTTCAACGCGAATGAAAGGTCGGTACATGTAATCTCGAGGACGTTTGTATAGCAATACGATGGCAGCTCTATCGGGACTAGCAATTGTAAACGCCGTCGAGTTTCGTCGTGCGAATGGGTAGCCGCCTTTGAGTACGACTCAAAAGGTTTCTGATATCCGTGCAGAACACCTGCTTCGCCGCCATATTGAATAGTTCCACGGTAAGTTTAGATCACAGGTGTGTAACATTCATAGAATCCTCAGTTGAAACTTTAAATTATTTTTAAATATGTTTTTTTTTATCAGATAATAATGATTCCAATGAATTTACGTTGCAATTAAGCTGTCTAATTCGCATATTAAAAAATGATTCGATTGAATCGATTCATTACAGTATAAACCAACTATTACGTATGACAAAAAAAAAAAGAAACAGATAACGTGAAAATAAATGACGAAGGTGGACGTGATCAAACGCATTGAATCTTACTCGCGCGAATAATATTTTGATTTAGATTCTTAGTTAGATACGATCTTATCTTACTTAGTTATAAGTCATAATACTTGACAAGAGTCATTCGAGAATCGATGCATGA